CCTCAAGGCAGAGCAGACCTGCACCTCATGCCACAGACACTGAGACATCCTGTGTGATGGTCGTTCTGAAATAATTTGGCATTGGCACTAAGCACGGGCACAGACTTAGAAAAGGGGCCAGATGCTGGCACCGGGCACATCTGTGAGGCTCACGGTGGTGAGGCAGGGAAAGGGTTAGCAGGGCAGGCAGGACACCTGGCTCCTCCAGGTCAGGCCGGCTCCTGTGTACAMAGGGAAGACCCGTCGTGAGACACCTGCACTCTGGACCCAGACCCCCACCAAGAAGGGCCTCAGTAACCTGAGTGGGCCAGGGAGCGCATGAAGAGCAGTGGACACCCAGTGCCTGGCCAGGACCGGGTCGGGGCAGCTCCCTCAGCCACGGAGGTCCACAGGAACCCCCAGACAGCAGCTGCTCCCGGCGCCCCTCCCTGGGGGGGCCCTCCTTAGGGAGCTCTGCCTGCTTGCTTTCTGCTACCCTCATAAACCCCGWCACTTTGYCCTCGCTCTCGTGTCTCTGGGTTTCATTCTTCAAATTCATGGACTCAGAGCCCACCCCACACTCCACGTTGCAACGGCAGCACCCCCACTGAGCAGTGGGACAGGAGTTTCTCTGCTGTGACTGGCACCATGTCATCTGCACACCTGGGCAGGAAGAGGTCTCCTTCCTCAGAAGGCAAGGACTTTTTTTTTCCAGTCTTTTTTTTTTGGTGAGGTTCTTTTTTTTGGAATTCTGGGGGTCAAACCCAGGGCTTTGCTACTGAGCTACATCCCAGCCTGACAAGGACTTCTTAAATGGGGTGCAAAAACATTAACTATAAAGGAAAAGATGAATAATTGGGTTTTGTTAAATTGAAGAACTTCTGTTCCTCAAAAGATGCCACTGAGAGGTGAAAAGGCAACGGGAGTGCAGGGATGCTTGCCTAGGCCACATGGACAACGGGCCGCCAGCCACTACTACTGCAAACACTTGGCTCTGGGGCAGAGCGCCCAACTGCAGGACCCAGGGTGGGCATACAGCCATTGTCAGTGGACACTGGCAGTCAGGATATACTGACCAGCAGGGCTCAAAGTCCTGAGCCCACAGCTGGGCAAGCCAGAGATGTGCAGTCCTTTCTGTGCTGGCCTTTGCAAGCGTGACAGGGCAGGTGCTATGCCTGGTGGGTGGGGCTCCTCCACAGGCTACCATCCAACTGTACTGTCCACTTAGAAAATGTAAATCCACTATTCTTGAGGCAGGCAGAAGGAAAAGCGAGAGGTGATATGGGAGCCTGGCGGCAGAGAATGGGAGAGGGAGCCCTGAAGCACTCAACTGACCCCAGAGCACAGGGCACTAGGAACACGATAAAAGTTGCCCGACCATGCCGGAGAAGGCCTTGAGCCACCTCAGGATCCTGTGCGTTCAGGTCAGCGGCAGGTTTGAGTCTTTGCTTCTGGGGCAAGCCCAGCCAGGCTGGCCTCAGGTGGGACTCGTCTCCTCTGGGGATTGGGGACTGGTAGTGGGGGCCAGCAGGTTGTGGAGCAGAGGGAAGGGTCATGTGGCAAGACAAGAATGAAAGGCAGGCGGAAGAGGAAGGAGTGAGCTTGAAAGCCTACATCCTGCCCTTGTCCTTCCTGAACAAGAACTTCCTGTGTCTCGCCACCGGCCCAGGGCCATTCCTGCCCACAGCCTGGATAGAGTGATAGGAGAATCACAGGTGCCTCTCCAGGGCACCTGTTCCCTGCACAGTGAGCTCACAGCACAGGACTCCCCCAGGTCCCACTGAAGGTGGTGTGGTGATGGGTCAGGTGGAAGCCACTGCTCCCCGTGGCTGAAAGGAGCATGCCCTGCAGGACCAGGCATCCCACTGGCAGTGCCAAGGGGGAGGAGGGGGCATGAGGACGGCAGTCTGACTCTGCACACCTCCCAGGGTGTGGCTCTCATGTGGAAGCCAAGCTGAGCCAGTCTGTGAGCCCAGCCAGACGACCTCGCTGCAGGACCGGCCAGGATGAAGAGTCATGCACGCTGTGGACAGCGGGAAGGGAGAAGACAGAGAGCAGCGACAGACAGAGGTGCACCAGTACAAGCAGGACAGATGGGCAGGGTGCTGCCATCAACTTGAAAAGGAACAGAGAAGAGCGAGCCACACCTGTCTCCCCATCTTCCCCCAAAGCACCACCAAGACAGGGTAAACGGGGAAATAAGAGGTAGGCCACCAGACACAGCTACTAGAAGTACTGAGGAGAGCAAGGCTGGAGGGTGGGGCCCAGCTAGGCCACTACAGCCCAGAGGGGCTGGGACGCTGGCCTCAGTGCAAGGCCCAGCCTGGGGGCACAATGCCATCTTTAGCAGGGTCATGAAGTGAAAGCGACATGCTCCCCAACTGTGCAGCGGCTTCCACTTCACCTGCAGAGCTATGTGACTGTCACCACTGCCTGGACACATCTCCATGGTTCATCCCGTACTTCATCTTCATAGCTCCCGACGCTCCTGGTACAGATACACTGCTCCTGGCTGATCATTCACCAAGAGGATGCTTCGGATGGTCCCAGATCTTGGCTACTGTCAACACTACAGTATTTGCACTGTGTGGACACAGGCTTTTGTCTCAGGTAACACCTGGGAGTGGGCTACTGTGTCCGTGGTGACTGGGAGCCTCAGGAGGCGTGGCCTCCCAGAGCACCACACACTGCTCCTCTCACCAGCAGCACACAAGGCACAGAGCCACACTTTACCTCAGGCTGCAGGACACTTGCCTGTTCTGCTGGTCTCTATCACCTCACCCTGAGCTGCTCACTTTCCAGAGCAGTCAAGGATGCGTTTTCTGCACAGGGCGATAGGAGGGTTGGGGTGGCATGCACATACACACCTAGATGCCCCCAGGCTTTTGCAGTGTCCAGGCTGGCCACCCTAGGGTCCTGCTTCCTAACCTCTGCACAGTGGTGCTGCTGCTCCTGCCTCCAGGCTAGGAGTCTTCTCAGCACAGGGTCTGCAGAGGTGCTCAGCCCTGGCAGAGGCAGGGCTATGGCAAAGTAGTCATGCAGGCTGGTCTCTGCTCCTAACGTGTGCAAGGACTGTCTGGGTGTTCACATCATCCCTTAAAGCAATTACACTTTATACCCCCTGGAGAGTGGTGACTTGGATCATGGTCTCTGCCTCGTGGCTATTACTGCACTTATGCTGGGAACTTCCTGTGCAAAAGGTACAGGACAAGATTGCCCAGTTACCATGGTGATGTCCTGCCTGAGGAGGTCTTATGCAAGTCATGGAACTATCAGTCTTGACCCTGAGTTCAGACACCAGCTGGTAGAGATAGAGAATTACTAGTGCAACAAGATAATTATAATTGCTTGCCAGTACTTAGACCTTCAAGACTGCCTGCTTTGAAGAAATTTTCTCACAGAAACTTTCTCACAGGTTTTGATGATAAAACCTATATAATGAATGTGCTGAGCTGGCTCTGGGTCATTGTTCCTCCATCTGAAGATGGTGTCCCACCTGGTCCCAGCTTTCGCTCTCTAAGTGTTTGTCTTTCTTAATCCCCCATTGCTCTTCAACGGTTTCTAAGATTCAAAGGTTTCTAAGTAGGTTGCAACAATACACTGCGAGCTAAAATGATAAATTTCCAGCTTTTAAAAGGACATTTTAAGGACAGATTCTGAAATTTGCTGGGCAGGTAGATCACAAGTTCTAGGCCAGCCTGGGCAACTTAGCAAGACCCTGTCTCAAAATAAAAACTAAAAGGTATGCATATAGCTCAGTGGTAGAGCAACCCCAGGTTCAATCCCTAGTACCAAAAAAAAAAAAAAAAAAAAAAAGATTCTGAATTTGAAGTTTGCCCAATCAGAAACAAGCCACACATCTACCAGAAGGGCATCCTCCTCACCCTGGAGTGGACTAGGGGACCACCACTGACAAGTGGGCCAGAAGATGCCACACCTGTGGAGTGTGGGCTGGGAAAGAAGAGTTCCTCAGAGCACCGCAGAGCTCCCGGAAGCAAGAAACACGAAGGCTGCCAGAAGGTGGGGCCTAGGCACCACCCCAAAGCAAAAGGATGCATAAGTGGAAGAGAGGGAGAGCACTGGAGGCCTGCAGTGGGGCAGGTGCAGTGAGCACAGGAAGCAGAAGYAGGAGACTCCAGGCAAGTCTAGGCCCAAAAGCAGTCAGACGGAGGTGCCTAGGGGTCACACCCCTGAAGACAAGCAGAAGATGCTCAGGCCTATGGGGCGAAGCAAAATAGTCACACCAAGAGTCAGGCTCAGTGGGGAACCAGTGCAGGCTGGGAATACTGGAGCAAGGCACTGGGCAGCACCATGTGGCCTGTGGGACACATTTGTCACTGAAATTTTGTACTCCATCATTTTCACAGGCTCAGAGCTCAAAGCAGATCCTTTCTCAGGGAGCCTTCAGAGAAAATGCCCTGCAAAATGAGGAGAGCATGACCAGGGACCCAAAGAAAGAGAAGAACCCCCAAAAGGCATCGCGTTTCAGACAGTACAGGATGGGGAGGTTGAGGTGCCCTGGTTTCTTTAGGACCAATGACTAGACTTCCCAATGCACGTGTGCATGTGCAGAGGTCAGGACCAGATGCCTGCAAGGAGCAGGAGCGGGGCCAGCAAACACTGCAGGCCACCCCCTTCCTCCTCCAGCCCCAAGTCTGCAGGGACAACAAGCCCAGTCTGGTTAATCTAATTTGGCAGCAACACTCCACCTCCTTAAACCAGAGGAAGACACCAAAAATGGCACCCAAGTACAAGTCAGTTCAAGATCAGAAGAAAATCCAGGGCATGGTTTCCAGGAGTCAGCAGAACCCTGGCTCCCCTGACTGCAAAAGAACAGGCATCTTGCTTCCTAGTCCCTCAATTCAGTAAAAGAAAGCCTGGGGTCAACTGAGAATGGTGATCCAATGAGGTTATCTGCCAGTTAATACCAGCATCAAGTTCTTGCAACTACTGAATGATCCAAGGAAAGAAACCAAGAACCAGCATGGAGTCTTCTGGGGGGCTCCCTGGACAAAGGATACGTGGTGTGCCCTCTGTCCGGCAAACCAGGTAGAGGCAGGCAGCAATCACGTGGGCCATCTTCCGGCCTCGGGTCAGGTGCTTGCTCACGGCCATCTTGAAGAAGTTGAAGGCTGTGTCTAGGCAGTGCTGGTTCAGCTGCAGCTGGCTCCCCAGGTGGTGGATGTGGCGCCTCCCTAGGACACAATAGCAGTGACTTACCAAGATGCTGCCACTCAAAACAACTCTGGTTAAAAAGAAGCATCACGTAACCACCTTAGCAATTTAAGAATAATCAGATTCGACCTTTTCCTAGTAAGTTTTAAATTCACTTTGTGTGGATGTGTCTAATTGATTTTTATATATGGACACTGTAAAGGGAATTTCCTATGGTTTTCATATCGGTGAAATCCTGTTTCCAGCCCTGAGTGGTAGCTGTGAAGAGGCTCCCTGGGTGTCCCACAGGTTCAGCCTGGTACTACTTCCTGACTGCCTATGCCCTGAGGTGGAAATGCCCCTTCTCCCACAGCCACATGCCCAAGCACCATCTCCACCCCACAGCACTGGCTGACTGGCTAGAGGAGAGAGCAGAGAAAGGGACAGCCCAACAAGCCGACCTTCCACACAGCAAAGGGAGGATGGCACTTGGTACACCAGGCAGCAMTGAGTGTCCCAGGGCTCACGGAGCTGCGAAGGCCACGACAGRGCCACACCCCTTTCAAAAGCAGGGCTTCCCTAAGTGCTGTGGGCTAAGAGAGAGGGAACAGAGTACTGCCTCATGGGCAGGAAAACAGCAGGGCCTCCTGTACATCCATGAAAATGCAGAGGTCCAGAGGCCAGCAGCAGAGGGTCCTGAGGTCAGCCCGACACAGGCCTCACRTCTACAGTGTGGGCAGAACAAGATTAGGACAGCAAGAAGAACTGCCACCCCTGAGATCTCCAGTCCCACCAGGGTCCTCTAGCCCCCAGACTACTCCTCCTGGGACACCCCAAACAGCCTCCACTTCACCCACAAAAGTTAAATACTCACTGCCTGATTTCTCTAATAAGGATGTGCTGCTGGCATGCTGCTCATAGCTGAACTTCACTAACAATGACAGCCAGCCAAAGGTGGGCACCTGGTGAGCCACGCCCAGGAAAGCCACAGCTGGGGCATGTGGCCTGGCAAGTCAGGGATGAGCCTCACCCTGCCTCAGGGAGCCCCGCCCTCCTGAGACCCCAGCACCTTGAGCCCCTCAGCTCAAAGGGCTCCTGTTGCAGAGGGCTAGTCACTGTGCCCTGAGGCCTGGGCAGAGGCAAGATCCTGGCCAGCTGGTCAGAAAGACAGCAGTTCTGACAACCATCTCCCATTAGTGTGCACAGGCTCACAGATGCAGGAGCACAGATTGATCCCCACACTCTGTGGCCCCTCGAGGCTCAAGGGTAAACAGTTCAGCTGGGGGGTTCTCCTTCACAGGCTCTTTCCCAACACAGAGGGCCCTGGTCCCCATAGTATAATCTCAGAAGGTTGTGCCCTTATGAAAGGGACCCCAACCCCAACCTCCCCCACATGAGGAACCCAGTGAGAAGGCACCATTGGGAACCAGGAAGCAGCCTTGGCCAGACACTGACTCTGTCAGGGCCTGGGTCCTGGACATCCAGCTTCCTGGGCTGCAGAACTGCACCTATGCTGTCTAAGCCCCAGCTGTGGTCTATTTGTTTTAAACTCACCAAGCTGGGACATAAGATTGCTGTAGTAAGCAACTGTTAACATCTGTATGTGATATATTCAAATGCTGAAAAAGTTCCCACTTAAAGCCTGCAATTCAGAGTTGTGAAACCGTCAGCACAATTCAATACATTTTTCAGCACCCCAAATAGAACACCCATGACCACAGGTACTAACTCCCTACTCCACTCCTGACTAATCTTTAATTCATGAATTCAGTGAGTACCACTAGTAGAGTCAATTAGTCACAAGCTTCAACATGCACATTATGTAAACATAAAAAGACCCTGTAAGTAAACACATACTCCTAAAACAGTTACCAGAACCTGCATAGTGGTGCACACCAGGCAACTTGGGAGGCTGGGGCAGGAGCACCATAGGGCCAGCCTCAGCAGCTTAGCAAGGCCCGGTTTCAAAAAAATAAAAAATAAAAATAAAAAAAAATAAGGGCTAGGTGCAGCTCATGGTAGAACAACACCCCTGGGTTCAATGCCCAGTACCTGAAAAAAAGAAGAAGAAAAAAAAAAACAGTTACTAATAAGCTGCCACAGCCCACTCTCCTTGGGCTTCTTCTCAGTGAGCGAATCTTACAGTAAACCCACTAGCACAGGGCGCCCTTGAAACTTGGACACTGTGGAAAAATGAAGTTGTGTCCCCCACCCCCACCCCCGGGGCCAGCAGCCAAGCACAACTCCAGAACTGCAGACCCTCAGGCCCAGGACAGGAACCCCACACCCCAGGCTCCCATGCTGCTGCCTCCAAGCCTGCAGCCTCCGCAGGGAGGCTCCCCTTCCGCTGCATCTGCAGGAGGTGCCACAGAGCCTGCAGAAGCAATGGGCTCCGCTCAAGACTGGCATTCACATGCATATGAACTGACATGTGAGGCACCTCAGCACCACATAAAATAAATAAATAAAGGTATTGTGTCCACCTATAACTAAAATAATAAKAAGAAGAAAAAGACAACAAGCTGAAGAATGAAAAGAGAAGCTACTGATGGAAGATTCAAAATATGCACATCCAACAGAGGACTTGAGCCTGGACTAAAGGACTTCTACAAATCAGCAAGACAATGACAGCTTCTGGCAGCCTTCTGTTTCTCCCTTGCTTCTGGGAGCTCTGTGGTGCTCTGAGGAGCTCTCCTTCCCCAGCCCATACTCCACAGGTGTGGCATCTTCTGGCCCACTTGTCAGCGGTGGTCCTCTAGTCTGCTCCTGGGTGAGGAGGATGCCCTGCTGGTAGATGTGTGGTTTGTTTCTGATTGGGCAAACTTCAATTTCAGAACCTTTTTTTTTTTTTTTTTTTTTTTTGGTACTAGGGATTGAACCTGGGGTTACTCTACCACTGAGCTATATGCATACCTTTTGGTTTTTTGTTTTGAGACAGGAGCCTAGGCACCACCCCAAAGCAAAAAGATGCATAAGTGGAAGAGAGGGAGAGTACCCAGGCCTGGAGTCAGGAAGAATCAACTTCCCTGGCAGAGTCATGCACAGACCACCAGAGGGGACACCAATCCTGAAGCACATGAAGAGACTAAGTAAAAAGACAGCCCTGGGGCTAGAGTGGAGCCCAGGAGGGGCAGGGCTTGCSCAGCACACGTGAAGCCCTGGACTCGGTCCCTAGCCCCAAACCAAAACCAAAGACCCAGTACTAGAAAATTTAAAATATGATAATTAAGACATTTTTTGTTGTTTTGTAAAAATATTTTTTTAGTTGTAGTTGGACACAATACCTTTATTTTTCTTGTTAAATATTTATTTTTTAGTTTTTTTTTTAATTCTTTTATTTATTTTATGAGAGAGAGAGAGAGAGAGGATTTTAATATTTATTTTTTAGTTCTCGGCGGACACAACATCTTTGTTTGTATGTGGTGCTGAGGATCGAACCCGGGCCGCACGCATGCCAGGCGAGCGCGCTACGGCTTGAGCCACATCCCCAGCCCTATTTTTTAGTTTTAGGTGGACACAATATCTTTTTTTTTAAGAGAGAGAGAATTTTTAATATTTATTTTTTAGTTTTCGGCGGACACAACATCTTTGTTTTTTTGTTTTTTTTTTGTTTTTTTTTTTTTTTGGTATGTGGTGCTGAGGATCGAACCCGGGCCTCAAGCATGCCAGGCAAGCGTGCTACCGCTTAAGCCACATCCCCAGCCCGACACAATATCTTTATTTTTATGTGGTGCTGAGGATTGAACCCAGTGCCTCAAACATGCCAGGTGAGCGCACTACCTCTGAGCCAAACCCCAGCGCACAATACCTTTATTTTATTTACTTGTTTTTATGTGGTGCTGAGGATTGAACCCAGTGCCTCACACATGCCAGGCGAATGCTCTATGCTGAGCCCCAGCCCCAGCCCCAAGACATTTTTAACCAAAAAATAACAGATCAGCAGAATGGCGCAGGCAAAGGCAGAAAAGTGAACTGGGAGCTAGAGCAGGGGTCTTCTCAGGGAGGAGCTAGATGCTGCTACAAAACAGACAATGTAAAAACTGACAGAACAGGGAAGAGACACCTCCCAACAGAACCCTGGTAGGAGGAGGMGAGGCAGGCACCATCCAGCCTCATGCAGCTCCTGCCCCATGCCTACAAGTGCCAGGCGAACACAACTCTGGAGCGAGCTCAACCCTCCTAGCGCTAGTTCAGCACTACACAACATCCTTTGGAGGACAGAGGATGGAGGGCACTGGTGGTCACCTAAGCAGGTCCCAAAACCATTGTCACTGGAGAGAAGTGACACTGGCATCAGACATCCTGATGTGAGCAGAGAAGGGCACCCCACAAATCCACAGCCCTGGGAAAGCATCAAACCCAAACAGAGCAACCTTCCACACATGCCTGACTACGACTCCCAGTGTGCTCAGACCAGGAGGAAACAGACAGAGAGCAGCCACAGATCAAAGGGRGCCCCAGGCTCATACCAGCTCTGGCAGAAAACAGAAAGAAGCAGGGAATGAGAAGAATGGGGGAACTTTGGATTGGGTGGAGAGGGGCGAGGGAAGGGGCATGGGGATAGGAAAGATGGTGGACTGAGACAGATATCATCACCCTAGGTACGTGTATGACTGCTCAATTGGTGTCACTCCACGTCGTGTACAACCAGGGAAATGAGAAGCTTGCTCCATTTGTGCATAGTGAGTCAAAATGCACTCTGCTGTCACGTGTAACTAATTAGAACAGATAATGAAAGGCAATGTCTTCCATGGCCTTGGCCCCCAGAGCCCTGAACAGACCATGGGAATCCAACCCCAGCAGTGCACACTGACAGCGTAGCGGGGTGTGTGGCTGGGCAGTGCAGCAGCCTCCATGCACATGGCCCCACTGCAGCACCACACCAAGCACAAAACGTGCCACGGCCCAGGGGCTACTTACTCCAGAAACCCAGGTGACTTCAATAGCCACAAATCAATGGAATTCACCACATCAGCAAAATAAACAAAAAATAACATAGCCATCTCCATAGGTACAAAGAAGAACAAGGCAAAGCAACACC